TTATGCTTGGTGGCAGGTTGCACCTTGCATTACGTTAGACTCTATGAGAGTAGTGAGCTCTCACTGATCTTGACTTGGTCTTGGTGGCCCTGCGCCTTGGCTAAGGATGGTGATGTCCAACTTAGTTGTTTGAGGTTGAGATGTTGGTACCCGTACTATAGCTTTGTCTATGAGGAGGTTGTGTACCAATATGAGTCCATCTCATGGTCTTCACTTTAGTTTCGACTGAGTGTTGATCATGCATAGCTAGCCTCTTCAAGGCATGCTCAGAGCTATTGACTAAATGCATTAGTGAGCTTATTGCGGTTAAGTTGGATTCGAGTGGTCATTTAGTTTGTGCTTGTCTATGAACTTTTATCTCGTACCTGAGGTATTACGTTCATATTGGATGAGTATATGACTCGATGATATGAGTTTAGTGTTGAGTTTTGTGAACGCAAGTTGAGGAGTGATTGTTAGTTCTCTTTTGTGACTAGTGATTACTTGTAGACTTTATCAAGGACCGTTGACACTTGCTTTGCTCGATGATGATTTAGCAGTGGTGGGCTTGCTTTACCGGATGGTGTTGCGGAGGATCATGTCATTAGGCTGGCATGGTTTTTCCATGTTGGCATGTCAATTCCTTTGTCGATATCATTTGGTTACGTTTGGTCTATAATGTTGGATTTCATTGAGTCTTGGAGGTGGTGATTCACTCCTTGAGGAAGTGTTATCCGTGACTGAGTATTGTTGAGAAATTGGTCTTGGATACTGAGTAAAGTATCTCCGACTTTAGTTAGCTTGGTTGCTAGAGAGTTTTGAGTGGTGATTCACTCTTGCTTTCTGCTAGTTTTGTTCTGTTGTTGATGGCATTGAAGTGATGCCTTGTCATTGACATTATTGAGGTTGAGATTCAAAGTGAAATGAGATGTCTCTCCTTAGGATTGATATTGAGTTTCATTAATCTTAATGAAGATAGTGTTGATGATTTGGCTATGGCTTTGTGTTGTTGGCATTCATGCATTTGCTAGTTAGCAACTGTGTTGACGTTCAAATGAACTGAGTGGCAAGTTGAGTTAGTTGTGTTCTAGACGAGATTATTTAGTAGGGGTTGAGCTTTGAGCTTTTCCTTGAAAAGTGGTTTAGTCATGGACTATGCTAACTCTACAAGTGGGAGAGTTAGTGATCGATGTTGGAATATTTTGAATCCTTATGGGATTTTAGTTGAAATATATCAATCATTGATGATTCTTCTTGTGCTTGCTATGAAGTGAGTTACGTCTTGCTATAGATGGATTCATGGAGAATCATTTAGTGATCACTTGTTGAGCATAGCTCCATTGTGCTTAGCTTTTGGATTGATGCAGAAATGTTCTTCATTAGCTTTGGTATTATGAAGTTTGGCTTATGGATGTGTTGAAGAAGACATTGTGGGTTGCACTATGATTTCTTCTTTAGCATTGAAGTTAGCTTCTATGAGACTCGTGATCATTATTAGGCAAGACTTAGCTATAGGCTTCTTCAAGCTTTTGGTTCTTTGAGTTTTATGCTCATTATTCCATTTGTTAGAAGTTGTTGGGGAAGGCATTTTGGCTTGTTAGCTTTGATGTTGAAGTTAGTATTTGCATCTAGCAATCATTAGTAATGATTGACTATCATTTAGGATGATTGATTCTCATTGTCAAAGGTTTTGCTTGATTATCGTTGATCTAGAATGATTTGCTATTCTTCGGGATGGTGGATTCCTTCTTAGACGATGATTCTGCATATCTCTTTTTTTGATAGGATGATCAATGATCTTTTATGATGGTTAGTTGTTCTCTTTGATGGCTTTTGGCTTTTTGCAATACCACATGTTCTTTGTGGTTTGCTTTGGATTGGTCTCTTGGGTTTGAGACGTCAGTAGGATGTTGCTAACACTTGCTTAGGCAAACTTGAGTTCCTTGGTATTGTTGGCTGGGATCTATTCCGATTAGCTTTTGTGATAGTTGGCAGGCATGAGTGTTTGTTGGTCTTACCACATTCATTCTCTTCTGTTGATTGTTGCTCGAGTTAATTTTGATAGATTTAGATGTTATTTCCTTTGGGTGATACATTCGCGAGCATTGTGCTTGTTAGTCAATGATACTTTGTGTTCTTTGAGTTCTCTCTAGTAAGTTGTTGGCTTACTGTCTACTATCTTCGGTAGTTAAGTTTCATCATTGAGTATCCTTGATGATATACTAGCTATTGAATTTTGTTGGATGGTCATTCCTATGTTTGCCAAATTATGATGATCTTGGTGGTTCCTATACTATAATACTAGTTTATCGGATGATAACTTATTTGGAATACATTTGTGTTCTCATCTAAGCTTTATTCACTGATAATTAAATCTCTAAGATATCATTGTTTATGACTTTGATATAGTCCCTATCTATTGATCTTTGAGTTTGGGCCAGTATAGGCAGACTGGCTTCGGCACTTCGTGTGCATGTTGAAATCTCTAGTCATGGGGTAGCTACTGTCGACTGGTCACATCACCCGCCTCTTTGTCGATGTTCCTTATTTTGTTGAAAGGGCGTGACCGTGTAAACAACTCTAACTGCCTGTTTACAGTAGTCTATCTAAACCTTACCGACGGGTTTGGTTTCTTTGCTCAGGAGGGTTGGGGCCTCTGGCTTCTCTCTCTATGTCCCTGCGGGCAGGGCGTATCACACTTTTGTAGCTGGGTGACACCTAGAGCAGCAAGGGTGGCTGACTCCGTTGGTCATTTCCTTGTCGGTGACGGCCGGAAGGTGTCTGAGCTGGTAGCGCATCCGCGTTAAACAAAGAGGTTGCTCCCTAACTCATTTAAGTTGATGCATTTCTCACATAGTGTGAGTACCGTGAACTTTTTCGAGAGTTGTTTCCTTGGCGGTATTCTGGACTGGAGTATGCATCGACGAGGACGTCGATCTTCCCCAAGGGGGGGAGAGTGTCGCGAATGTGACTTCGGGTATCGAAAGTTATCTGTCGACCAGTCCTTACGGACACTCTTTCCTTACTGCCACGATGGCAGGAGGTCGGTATTGCTGGACCCTTTATCAGCCCCTCTTGTTCAAGTGTTAGTAAACTGGACTTAGCATCTGTACTTGGCCGGATGAGCATAAGGACGGAATTCCTAAGTGTCTATTTGGCCAAGCATACTTGGCCCGGCTTTTTAGTTCTCTTTTGCTCTGTCTTGCACTGGCTTGACAAGAACCCTCGCGCATTGAGATTGGTCCCTCAATATCGCTACATGATAGCTTACCGTGTCTGCCAAACACCCTCGCTATCATGCCCTTTGTGTTAGTCTCATTTTGGTCCCAAATGCTATTTATGGAAAGTGTCCAGATTTGCTTATTTGGCATATTTACGGAATGTAGAGATTGGCCTGAACACAATGGTGTTCGTCCCATGTCCAAATTCGCAATCTAAGGACATTCCATATTTAGTAAGTTTCGAGTTTGTCCCAGAGACTAACTCCTGATACTAAGGGAGGCTTGGGGTGAAAGCCCAAAGCGTGTGTTCCTCAAGGGGGGGGGGGCCTATGGGGGGTTCCAAATGTATAGTAGGGATAGTGGGTAGGTCGGGCATGGCCGACCAACCTGAGGCATAGTCTAGCTCCCGCTTGCATGCCTGTCCTTGTTCTGCGTCCGGCTTGGGTCTAAGCCCAAGTTCCATTCCATGCTAACTGGTGGAGTACCCATGTCCTCACGTTAGACCACCGGTATGCCGAAATAGCGCCAGACTCCGTTTGGCTCCGTTTTGTGTGCTGGTCCTGGCATTGGGATGCTGGTTGCTTCAGGACTGTTCCAAGTCGCTCCAGGCCCCTGTCCCTTCGCTCCTTGGGCTTTATGCTCGGGAGTTGCTCCGTGGTCCGGTTCCATCACTCCTTGGCTCCACGCTTGGGAGTTTGGCACCGTTCCTTCGTTCAGTGGCCCAAGGCCCTAAACCTCGGGTTCCTATGGACACGTGGCATGGACACGTGGCATGTGACACGTGGCATTTGTCACGTGGCACAAAGAGGGTTTAGATTCCGCTTCGTGGTGTTATCCTATGGTAAATCACCATAGGATAAAGGGTCAAAACCACGTGCGCTACATTTTTGACAAGAAATTAAAAATAGTAAAGTTATTAAATCTCTTGAAGCTGACAACAATTCAAGAGGCAACACACACACACACACACACAGATTGTAGCAACTAGATTGTAGCAAATTATGGCTTTGGGCTACATTAATACTCATCCCTACTTCCCTTTATATTTTCTTATTCCTCATACTAACTCATGGTTTTGATTTAAACACTAGGTGTCTTTGTAATTGCATTTTTTGATGGATTATAAATTTAGTGATAGCTTGCAAACAATCCCTCTCAATAGCTTTCTTAATAGAATTTTAGATATTAATATTAAATGTTGTATAAACGAGTTTAAAGACAAAAGATCACAAGCATCGGATTAAAGAATATTTTAGAACATACTTGGATACTTCAGGTATATTCTTTATACTCTACAAGTTTTCTAATAAACACTAATTTAGTTAACTCTAAATTTTTGGTTTGCTTAAGCAAACCTGTAGGTAATGGATGCTTGAATATTCAAGGATATTCTACCATCGAACGCCTATTATTTATTTAGATTAATCCTGTATTTATAATCACTAGTTTATTTTACCATATTCAAAAAGATTATTCTTGTGTTTATAAATTATAATTTTTTAAATAATTTTTGATATATTAGATTATTAAATAGAAATAACATTACCATTAAGTAAACTAAGTGTTGCTTCATAAAATTGTTTTTTATAACTTTTTTATAGTAAATATATATAAATGTCCACTTTTGGATTCTGGTGTAATGTGTTGATTACTATATCTGCACATTATCACATTTTTCGCACTTAATAAAATCTAAATATATGTAAGAAGAAACAATTATATAACTTTTTGTACTGAAAGCACACTAATGGAGAAAATCACACTGATCTTCTTTTTGGAGAAACTCTTGCACTAAAGGGTATGAGCCAAGGTTATCATAAGCTGACATACATTTGAAATGCAATGAGTCAAGTTTTACAATCTAGTTTTGGCCGTGATCGCGCGAGCCCTATGCCTGTCCAACGCCGCGGATTGCCGCCGCCGGGGCTGCTGGTGTGGATTGACGCCCTGGCGATAGATTCTACACTGCTGCTGTTGCTGTTGGACGCGAGCTGAGATCGCAATGCGGATGAATTGGTCACCAGCAGCCCTAGACGAAGAACCCTAAAAATGCAGTGGTGAGCCATGGCGCTATCTGGATTGGCTTCGCCGCTGCCGAGATTCCACCGGAGCAGGAGCCCATACATCGAGGTACTCACTCCTCGCATTCTTCCTTGCGCGCGCATTCTTTTTGTTCGTTCTTCCACGCCTGTAGTTTGTTGCTTGTCCTCATTAGTTTAGCCTTTCTAGCTCCAGAGCTCTCGTCAGTTCTTCCATCACTTCCTGGACGTGAGGTCTACGAGGGCGAGACTTCCTCGATTGGGACACCAACAGCACAGGCTCCAGGTTCTCGGTATGCATGCCTTCTTCGTAGAAAACATTTCATTTGTGTATGAGTTTCTTACATTTTCGTCCCTGGCAGCTGCTGTGGATCCTGAGCTCCATACTGTTCTTGAGTTAGCTAGCGATGTGGAGCTTTCTGAGCTCTCGAGCATTCTCTATGGCAAGAGGTACGAATCTAGAAACGCTCTTTTCGGAGGGAGCTGACTAGCTTGAAAAAAATCACAGCTTCTTTAGTCCTGTCTTTAAGTCCGTAGCACAGGGCGATGGCTCTAGTCCTCGGCATTCCGAGGACGGGGAAGAAAAACGAGATGATTTACTGGAACGGTTGGAATCGAGGCTTTTGTTTCTAGCCGCGGATGCCAAATCTACTGTGACGTAAGTGCATTGCTTTGGAGCAAGTGTTTCTTTTTTAATTGTTGTACTACCGTTTAGTGGTCGGAGGCCCAGATACAGGGACGTTCTTTTACAAGTTCGACAGAAACTCAAAATCCCGTGCTCCCTAAAACTTCCTACGGAGGACTTAGAAGCCGAGATATTTCTTTTCCTCCTCCAACAATCTTCAAGGCAAGCAATGATGCTATTCTTGCCGCTCTTGACTTTTTTTTTCCAGTCCATCGGAGCCTCTGAGGATTGATGATGATCCGAGTGACGCTGAAACTTCCCAGTCTGGGTCATGGCGCAAAAATCTCGCGGCAGCTCTCAAACTTGGGGGCCGTGAGCTCGTGTCCGCCGTGTTTAAAGTTTGTGTTTTTCCTTTCTTGGATTATCTGTCTAACCTTACGCCAACGCGACAGGGTGGAAGCGCTCTCACAATGTCCACGCTCCAAAGATTGGTATGATCCTGTGATGTTTTCGGATATAAATTAGCCTGTCTTCAGGTGGCGAAGGAGCTTTCTGGAAAAATGCTGATGGAAGCTGCTCGTTACCAACTTGCTAGAGAGGCTCTAAAAAAGGTACTGTAATCGACCATGATTTCGTGGTAGTGTTCTTAAATAGTCGCAGCTCTTGTAGGGTGGTCAGCTGGTTGCTACAAAACTCGAGTCTCGCGTGACAATGCTTGCAGCAAGACAGGTAACTCACCACAGCTTCTAACAAAGCTAGGAAGTGTTTACATTGTTTTGCAGTTACTTGCTGGGGCCGCTGCGAGATACATCACCATTCGGAGCACTATGATGCTGCTTGGGCCCATGTAAGATGAGATGTTTAGCGCTTCCATTCTCATGTGAAATCTATGTTTTTGCAGTTTATGGGGAACGTTTATAGCTGATGTTGTAGTGACCGCTCTGGGACCGGATTACCTTCGTGTGGTCCGGGCAATCTATGCACTAGCGCAGGTAAATACGTTTCTTAACTTGATAGAGCTTGCTAAATGCAGATACACTGGAACTTAGATACGTCTGACGAGAACTTATGGATGGAAGCGAGGATCTCTTCTATGTCAAGGTACTCTAAAAGTTTTCTAAAAGTACTTAAGCTGCTATCGATTTCCCAGGTGATTAAAGATGGAGGAACCTCTCTGAGTTGCCGGTGTACAGAGATAGTTGGAAGCTTGTATAACTTGAATGCGTTTTTTTATTCCTTGTTCTTGTTACTAAAGTAGAGACGTTGTGAAGTTCTCGTGGTGATTTTTTCTATATGGTACTCTTGGAGTGAGTCTAATAAGCTAAATTCTATTAATGTATAGGAGTTTGCAATGGATCTGGGAGTGCCATGAGTCCTGTTTATTGAGGCCATATGTCACCAGCATTGCTTGGCAAGCATCAGGAATCCAGTAGATTACATTCTTGTGAATGTTTATGGAAGCTGTGAAGAAACGTTCTGGAGAGGTGTCCTCTGGTGCCCGGCTTATCATAACTGCGTCCTCCCCTCTTAGTCGAAGAGCTCAAACACGCCGGTGCTGCTCTGTCCAAGCAAGTACAGCTTGCCTTCCCAACCCATGAGCTTAAAGTTCCCTTAAAGTACTTCATTGACGTGGTGGAGTGAAAGGAACTCGCCATTGTCCGCGCGACCTCGCCTTTCTCTCCCATCCAAAGAATGGATGATGTTGTCACAAACCGGGGAAGAGGTTGTGACAAACTCCGCGAAATCCTCGTTGATATCCTCATGATGGTCGTGCTCTGTGACCAGCCACTCAGACTTCCATGAAACTACGCAACGGAAATACTACTCGATGATCCGTAAATGGCAGCCTTAAGATGTGCCACTGCTTGACCTTTTCTCCACAGCGGGGCAAGAATTCTGGATGGTGGAAGTGGGTTTCCCACCCAAAAGGCTCTCTCCCGGAGCTTCAACTGGAATCACTTACCCAGACCCAAATGAGCAAAATATGTAACAAGGATAGCTTATTCCAAACATCGTTCCTCTCGACGGCATGGTTTGTTGTAGTGGCAGTTCTGCGTTCAGTGACCTCAGATTCGTGAGAGGAAGATTTATTTGAACTGGCGATTGGCTGATACTATGCTTGCTATATGTATTTCTTTTTGTTAGTAAATTATATTCCAATCGGTCACATTCTTTTCATTTGTCCTGTTTGTTCTTAACACTTTGTTTTTGGATGTTACGTCCTGCATCCTGGATGACTTGGCTCCCTTGGCAATGAGTAGCAGGTGGGAGGCATCTGCAGTGAAAGAAAATAGAAGAAATTTTTTTAAAAAAAGAAAAAAAGAAAAAAAAGAAAGAAAAAAAAGAAAAGAGAATATTCTTTTTCTAATAGTAAATAGCTGGTCAATGTATCTATTTATCTATTTATATGCTATTTTAATAGTCTCATTTTGATTAATGGATGCAAGAATGCAATTTGGATTATCTTTGCAATGGAGATTTTTGTCAGTCTTTAGCCTTCTTTAGTTACATTAGCTTTCTTTGGCCAAATTGATTCCATTAAAGTCCTCCCCTTACTACATGCTCCTTCTCACTCACAATCTGATTTATTGTGGGAACAAGAATTTCTCAATCCAGACAGCTGTCCTATTTCATAAATGAGGTCAAGCTTCTCACAGTTTGATAAACTTTTGTTTTTCTATTCCCCAAGGATAATAAAAAATACCCCTCACCTCTATCAATATGAGTGTATGAAATATAGAAATAAAATGTAGAAATGTGTAACTTTAATTAGCCCTAAAACCATAAGTTATATACAAGAGTGAGTGGTTTGGATTGAAACCAATATAATAACTACCAAAATTCCATTATACTAATACTAATATATAACATCATAATTATACATTTAGACCTCATATTGGTATAACCCTCTAAAATACTATTGTGGTTTATAACTACCACATCATAACTTTATACATGGCATTCCAAGATGTAAGGGGATGGATGGTTATCCTTTGCAGGATCTCTTTTGCTGGTCTCTTGGGCTCAAAGCGCAGGCAAGAAAACCTCCTTACCCAGGCCCATTACAGAGATGCAGATTGGAAAGTGGAAAAAACTATTAAACAATTTAAACACTTTAAAGGTAAAATGAATGTGATGTAGTAATAACTATCTAAAAGGTAACAAAATAAAGTCACAAATTACATTTCCTCTGGTTAGGGCTGGTGATGGAGCATGTAGATATCCTTTTGAGGCTTCCTGGGCCGAGTCTGTTGAGAGCAAGAGCTGTTTGCAAGGCGTGGAAAGAAATAATTGACTCTCCATGGTTTTCAGTCCGCTACAGGGATCCATCGCCCTACATCTTATTGCCAGCATCAAAAGAAGAGGGCTGGCCTTTCTGTAACATATGCCACTTGGGTCTGGGTAAGTGGTTCCAGCTGGAATTTCCATCCAAATTTATCCAGGCGGTCTCCCAGTCTGGGCTGGTGCTGGTCCGGGAAGGCAGAGGCTTTTGGGTGGGGAACCCATTCTTCAATAAGTGGAAAGCACATGGATTAGAACTGCCATATGCAAAGTTTGATCCAGAGATTGCAACTCTAGTGGATCATGAACAGGGCTATCGAGTAGTATTTCGGGTGCGGAGATTCGTGCAAACGGCAGTCCTCTGCTCCTGGAAGTCAGAATGGCTGCTCTGTAACCACCTTGAGGAGGATCTCAAGAAGGATTTTGTGGAGTTTGTCACATCCTCCTCCACTGTTTGTGACAACATCATCCATTCCATTGGATCCAAAAGCAAGGTGGCACTGCTGAGTTATTGTGCAGACAATGGCGAGGTTCTTTCACTCCGTTACTTGAAGCTGGGGTCTGAAGTACTTGAAGGGTGTTTTAAGCTCTTTGGTAGGGATGGCAAGCTCTATTTGCTTGGAAAAAATGGCACTCACTTATTTGGACTCTTTGAAATAAGAGGTGAGAATGTAGTTCTGATAAGCCGGGCACCAAAAAGCATTTCTGCAAGATTCCCCTTTATAAAGTCTGCAAGCATCGACAACAATATTATCTACTGCATTTCTCATGTTAAGCAAGCGATGCTAGTGACTTATAACCTCAGTCAACAGGGTTCATGGCAAATGGTACCACTTCCAGAACCATTGCCTTCATGCATTGGAATCTTAAATATTGTAAAGTTTAGTTTAGATTTACCATTTGGCTTAGACTTGTGTAGTGCCTTCTGATTTTAAACGTGGACAAAAGCAACTCACTTTGAAGCCAATAATTAGCCAAGATCTAGCCAAGATTATTGCCAATTTAAGCTATGGAGCAAAGAGAGGCCAAGAACTCCAGCCCACTGAATCTAAGAAGAGCTAGGAAAACCAAGAGCAAGGTGAAGTCTACAACTTCTGAAGAGCTTGGAGCTTGAAGATTGCATACTGGAGTTTAAAGATTGTATGAAGCATAGAGCATGAAGCGTGGAACATCATCAGCAAAGCTCACAAACTTGCATTTTGCATCCATCAGTCTCATGCTTGGCAACATGCATGAGACTTGATCATGGTTACTGTTCTGATTCTGCACTCGTGTGTCCTTTATATTTACTACGGTGAAAGTTTGTTTGCAAGCGAATACACCAAAACGAGAGGAATTGCTACTATGAGCAGACGTAAGGCCTCCGCAAGAAACAAAACTCGATTCCATGCTTTAGGAATGTTTTTGTGTAAATAAACCATAAACATTGCTAAGCAATTCTAATATTACTTCCAGTAGAAAACTTGCTCTAGGACGAGCTCTCCACCAAAGCGGAGATCCACCCGAGAGTAGCCAAGGAAGTACTGCCGCCAAAAGGTTCTTCAAAGCTGTGGTCGAAGAAACAAAACGCTAAGAAAGCGCCACTCGAAGAACATGGAGCTCGGGAAGGACGTACGGAATAAAAAACAGAAAAATGAAAGGACGCATACCGAGAAACCGAGAAGCTTGAGCCTAGCAGCTTTCTGGATTGAGAAATTTTCATTCCTGCTATAAATCTCATCCAAGACTGGAAACGAAGCAAACAGGACAAGGAAAGAATGAGAGCGATAGCCTGGATCATCCTGTGGTCAATCCTGGCTCCCTTGGCATGAGAGCGATGAATAAATAGCAGCTGGAATTGTCTACGAAGACTATGGCACTTGGAAGGTTACAATTGCCGATGATGTAACAGGAAAAGAGTGTGTAAGCACACATACGCTGAAAGGCATGTCATGAACCTATCAACAGTTTGGTTGGGGCCTGCTCAAAGCCGACAGTTAAAGAGTTTTTCATATGCAAAGAGTAAGCGTATACCAAAGGGCAATGAAAGCTTCGAAGCTGCTACGTTGGCCTGTTCGAAAGCGTTATAAGAAACTAAACCAAAGGAGCAAGCATACATGACGAGGGAGAACAAACCAGCTGTCCACAAAAAATAGAAAGACCAATCTTCTAGAGTATAGATCTCGCATTCGATCCCCTCTCTCTCTCTTCAAAGCACGAAGCATTCGGGGGAGAAGGTTACAAATGGGGCCACGATATCAAGGAAGAAAGAATGATACCTGAGCTCTCAAGCTCGCCATAGCCCTTCCGCGACCTAAAAACTAATGCGAGGAAGAATGTTAAATATCAAATCTAAAAACACTCTATCCAATAAAGCGGTACTCTTAAAGATGAAATCTAAAACAGTCTATCCAACAAAGGGCTCGCGTCCTTGTCGTAGCGTCCAGCCGCCTCCTTGACTGCTGTCTCAAACTCCCTCCATATTTCTCGCTCCTCTACACTCAAACGTTTTTTTAGCCGTTCTTTTCCTAGAGATTCCCTACCTCGCGGTGGAGATATTGGAGGTCCGCTGCTATCGCCTGGGCGGGCACAATCGCCTTGAACGCGCCGGCATCTCGAAGATCCATGTCCAAAGGAGAGCAGAACCCGAAATCCAGGATCCATATGCTCCTCCCGGAGAGATGCAGCTGGACGTCGCGGAATCTCCAGCCCTCTCCAAACACGACGCGAGCAAACAGCTCCCCGACGCTCCGAGCGACGCTGCTGGCTTCCAGGTGTGGAAAACTCCTGCACATCACAACGCACACACAATTAGGCGATAGCAGCGGACCTCCAATATCTCCAGAACTATCTCCCGCGAGGCAGGGAATCTCTAGGAAAAGAACGGCTAAAAAAGCGTCGTGTTTGGAGAGGGCTGGAGATTCCGCGACGTCCAGCTGCATCTCTCCGGGAGGAGCATATGGATCCTGGATTTCGGGTTCTGCTCTCCTTTGGACATGGATCTTCGAGATGCCGGCGCGTTCAAGGCGATTGTGCCCGCCCAGGCGATAGCAGCGGACCTCCAATATCTCCACGGCGGAGTTTGTCGCGCTCATGCTCCGTGAACGTGTAGAGCCAAGCCCGGTCCCCAAGATCGTCACTGTCGGATCTTGTAGGTCCTCTGGAAGAGGGACTCCGCCGCCTCCTCCTCGATGGGTGGCAACCTCTGCATGACAATGACGGGAGCGTTAATGCGCTTGAGATGCTTGAGCACGAGAGGCCTTATCTCTTCGTCCACGCGCTGGAGCAGTGCCTGTCCGTTTGGGGCGAAGGCGATCACCTCCGGCACGCGAAGCGACGAACCGATCTCCTTGCAAGCCCTGGCAACAGCCCTCTGCGCCTCCACCTCTCTTGATCGCGTCGTACGGGATGTCTTTCCGCTTGGCAACTTTGATGGCGATCTCTCCCTCGCATATCACCAGCCCCTGCATTCCTCCATCCCAACTCGTTGCCGGTTCCTGCTTGACCGCGCTCGTGCCCGCTCCGACTTGCCGGCGCTCCACTAGGTTTCCTCCGCCGTGCTTGCCGCGATCCTTGCCGCCGCCAGTCGCCGCCACCTTGCCGCGCTCGTCCGTGCCAGGATCGCGATCGGCCGCTCCACCTTGGCGTGCCGCTCTGCCACCGTGATCCCGACGCTTGGGCTGCCCTGGCGCCATAGAGCTCTTCACCTCGCCCTAAACAAACACACTGGATGGCCTCACACTGGATGGGACCTTTATACCGTGGTTCGCGGGATCAACATCTCTGCCGTCGAAACGGACGGCTGCGATTACCTTCCATAGAGAATCTGTAGTGTTACCTTTACGCTACTTTATACTAATCATCATCTCTGCCGTCGAAACGGACGGCTGCGACCAATACATGTTACCTACTTGATTAAAAGGTTATTAACGCACGTAGCGATCTTGCCTTTTAAAATTCAATCACAGTGAAACGTTTTAGGGTATCAAGTAGCGATGAAGAAGGCGCAGAAGGGCAAGAAGGCACCGCCACCTTGTCCAGCAGCAGCGGCACCATCGCCCAGCCCGCTGGACATGTTCAAGGACTGGAAGAGCGATCGCGTCCACAAGGTAGTCATGGAGAACTCTAGGATCAGGGTGGGAGCAGTGGCGACTCAAGGTCCCAGGCCCAAAATGGAGGACGCCTACGCCTGCGTCCCCGACCTGGACGCCTCCTCCTCCTTCGTCGCCCTCTACGACGGCCACGGCGGCTGCGCGGCAGCGCGCTACTGCGCCGAGCACCTCCACCGGCGCCTCGTCTCCGACCCACACTACAAGAAGCGCGAGTTTGGCCGCGGCCTCCGGGAGGTGTTCGCGAAGATGGACAGGGTCATGCAGAGCCCGGCCGGCGCGGAGGAGCTCCGCAAGCTCGCGGAGGAGAACAAGGAGGTGGAGGGCGCTGGCAATTGCGGCACTACCGCGGCTGCCGTTTTGATCCTGGACGACAGGCTCTTCGTGGCGCATGTCGGGGACAGCCACTGCACGCTGTGGCGGGGAAACGAGGCCGTGGCGGTGACGAGGGATCACAAGCCCGAGACGATGCCCGGGGACTGCGAGAGGGCGGTCAGGGCCGGGGCGACGGTGGTGAAGAACAAGTGGCTCGAGATTGGCAGCGTGAACTCTCGTGGCGAGAAGGGCCAGTTTGGGCTGCAAATGACGCGGGCCTTGGGTGATTTCATGTGGAAGAGCAACGCGGAGCTGGAGCCCGAGGAGCAGGCCGTGGTGGCTGTTCCCGAGGTTGTGGAGATTGATCTCCGCGATGGTGGATGCGAGTTCCTGGTGCTGGCGTCGGACGGGGTGCCGCGGGAGTGCGTGGAGAGCATCTGTCCCAGCGTGCATGACTGGCTGCTCGAGGAGGAGGAGCACCGGGGGAGGCATGGAGGTGGTGGAGCGTACCAGTACCAGCAGGGGAGCATGGAGCTCGCCTTTTTTTGCGACAGGATGCAGAGCATGAGCTTGGAGGTTGACAACAAGACTGTGGTTCTCGTCCACCTCAAGCGCTTCAAGCCCCTGGCTTGAGGATTCTAGAGCTGTTATTAGGTGTTGCAATCTATAACAAATTTTAACATATATCCTGGAATCTATGTTTGGTGAAACTTGAAAGTCTAGAACCTTAGACATCTAGACTTCCAGAATCGCAAGGTTCTAGATTTTCAACTTTCACTATGTAGGATAAAATGAGGCAATATATGTTTTAACTTGCATGGATCTTTAGCTGGTAAGAATCATGTTTTAGGATAGTCTAAAGCTTTTGGAACCGAGGCCATGGCGGCGTGCATCCAAGCGTTGGCAATTAGAGCAACGCTTCCATCTACGTTTCTGGGTACGTCGCAGGTGTCATGGAGGCGGCAACAGCGCCTGGTTCTCGCCAATCCATCCAGCTCCCGGGTCTCGGCGTGGTTTAAATTCGGGAACCGGGGATTGGATTCGCAAGGAGCTGGAATCTATGGCAGCCAGAAGAGGGACGATTTCAACAAGGACGACGTCGAACAGGTCAGAGATTTTCCTGGAATGTTTGTTCTCATGGTTCTTTCTCTCTCTCTCTTTTTTTTCTTGGTTTTGATCCTCTCTTTGAGCAGTACTTCAACTACATGGGAATGCTGGCGACCGAGGGATCCTACGATAAGATGGACGCGCTGCTCAACGAGGGTCTCCATCCGGTGGACATTCTATTGCTCATGGCTTCTTCCGAGGGAGATAAGCCCAAAATCGAGGAGCTTCTTCGCGCTGGAGCTAGCTACACGGTGAAAGACGGCGAGGGAAGAACAGCATTGGACAGGGCTAAAGACGACGAGATCAGAGATCTCATCCAGAACTTCCAGACCGTCCCTTCCCCGTGAAAATCTGTCCATCGTATAGGATCAATCCAAGTTTCCCTCCAAGGTTTTGTTGGATGCGATGGGTCACACAATGGCGATCTTCTTCGTCGTCGAGTTATGGGCGACGCTCGATCCATTCCTCCTCGCTGCTTGGTGGGCGGTTTTCTTTCCCTCTGGGCAGCGATCAGCAGCGCCTCCAGGCCCAATTCGCCTCACAGCTCCAGGCATGCCGAGATCTGGCCACCGCGCGGCGGCTCCACGCCCGGATCCTCGCCACCGCTCTTCGATCCGACACCTTCACCGCGAATCTCCTCGTCCAGATGTACGGACGATGTGGCTGCCCGGAGACCGCACGCCAGACGTTCGATGGCATTCTCGCAAGGAACTCCTTCTCCTGGAACATACTCATGGCGGCAAATGCCCACAATGGGCATCTTGAGAACGCGAAGAGCGTCTTTGACAAGATGCCGGAGCGCGACGTGGTGACATGGACGGCTATGATGGCGTCATTTGCCGAGAGGGAAGATCTCTTTCGTCCAAAACAGTTGTTTGATTCCATGCCGGAAAGGAATGTGGTGTCCTGGAACGTCCTCGTTGGAGCATATGCGCAGCAAGAACAACTTGAGTCTAGCAAAGGAGCTTTCTTTCGAATGCCCTGCCACAGCATCGTTTCCTGGAACTCTAAGCTTACAGCTTACGCGCAAGGGCAGCAAATCGATCGCGCAAGCGAGTTCTTTGAATCGATGCCACAGCGCGACGCGATTTCCTGGAACATCGCAATCTCAACACTTTCCCAAACAGGAGATTTGGTAAAAGCAAAGAAGCTGCTTGATTTGATGCCGGCGGTGGGGATCGTGTGCTGGACGGCAATGGTGGTGGCAAACGGGCAGCTCTGTCAACTAGAAGAAGCGAAGAAAATCTTTGATTCTATGCCGGATCGTGATGATCTTGCTGGGACGGCTATGGTGACCGCATTTGCGCAGAATGGAGAAGTGGACTCTGCCAAGGCTGTGTTTGATGCGATGCCAGAGCACAGCGTCTACGCCTGGAATGCTCTCCTCGCGGCCTACGCTCTAAATTCCCGCCCGGGTCGCGCTATGGAGATCTTCGCAACCATGCCCGAGAAGGACGTGGTCTCTTGGAACGTCGTCCTCGCCATGCTCTCCCAGCGCGATCAAGACGGGCGCGGCAGCGCGATCCAGCTCTTTCAATCGATGTTGCTCGAGGGATTCCTCCCAAACGACGTCTCGCATCTCTGCGTGCTCATCGCTTGCAGCCGGGTTGGATCAATCCACGCCGGGCGCGACTGCTTCGCGGCGATGAGCTCGGATCACGGATCCACGCCTGAGCGCGTCCACTACTCGTGCATGGTCGATCTCCTGGCCCGCACGGGACAGGTCCTCCTCGCCCAAGATCTCATCGAGACGATGCCTTTCTTTCCCGACGACGTGGAGTGGCTGACGCTCACGGTGAGCGGAGCTCCCGCTGGACCGAGGCTCATGGATCTCCGGCCTGGCCGATCCGGTCCCTACGTAGTGCTCTCGAATTCCATGCTAGCGCCGTAAAGGATCTGTTGAGATCGATCCATCTGGGAAGTTTCGTGAGACGGAAGAAGTTCGTGAACACTGTGAACATCACAACGCGTTTTCTTGTTTCGGGTGCCATTCAAAGACTTGGGCAGGTCAATCTTAGCAACCCAGACGGGTTTCTCCTTGAATCACAGAGGGTTTCTCCAAGGTCATGGGAAGCATATGGTCACAAAGTGTGGGGAGAAGTTTTTTGTATTGTTCTTGGACAACGCACGCCAAATCTTTTTTTGTATTCTTCAACGCTCTTGTTCCCAAACCTTCAGTTTTTCTTCCATCACGCAGCTGCCAAATGCGACGAAGTGAACGAGGAGCAAACCCTAGCTGGTGTTTGAAATTTTAAAAACTTTGGCGCGAGACCCCCTGCCAATGCCGCCCTGCCACTTGGCGCAACACCCGTGGTGACTGTCTACCAACGCACATGTGGATAGACGCGAAGCTTTGCAGCAACAACAGTCTGGTGCCGTACGCACCAGCGTGGCGGTGGCTGTCACTCGTCTTCCCGTCCGTCGGGCTGTGGGCCACAAATAGTTTGGGCCACAGTGTGAAGCCGTCGTACACGCTTTAGCTAACTGGCATATATAATAAAACAGCTTGGCTTCATATTTTTGCTCGCTCTCTTGCATAGATAGGAAGAGAGGGGAGGATCGTTGCCCTAGAGGCGCTGGGCGATCGTCCGGGCGGGCGATCATCCGTTGCTATAGCTAGGACGAGCGCGCGAGCGATGGGATTTGGGAATAGCTACAAGGTTCTTTCTCCTCTCTCCTGGGAGACGACAGCCGCGAAGCAGGGGGGATCGCCGGGTAACGGCAGCAGCGGCAGCAGCGCCGCGCGATCCCAGAGAGTGGTGGATTTCGTGAAGAAATGGCTGCTCTGCGGCTGGAATCTCAACGCATCGGAGTATTCGCAGGTCGTGTCCCCAGGTAATCCTCTCAAGAGCAGCGGTGGCAGCGGTGGCGCTCCGGGGCGGGGGGCGGAGTGCTACGTGAGGCCGCCGCGTTGGAAGCAGTTCTTGCGGCGAGTGAGGGCGAGATCGAGGAAGGTCCGCGAGGGCTTGTGCTTCCACCCCCAGCAGCAGCCGCTCAACTATTGCAGCACCGATAGCTACGAGAGGAACTTCGATCGGGGGCGGGAGTTTTGGAGCGACGAGTTCGGCGCTCCGGACAGGAATCCGAGCCTTGCGGCTCCGCCAAGCTACGCGGCGGCGACGCTGCATCCCACGAGTTCTTCCACCCCGATCCTGTGGGAGGAGAAGCCGCTCCAGGATAGACTCCTGGCGGCTCCTCCCATTTGGCAGAGGAGGATGGTAGGCGATCACCTCACACCGATCGCCGTCGGCGCTGCTTAAAGGTTCTTTGTGATCTCTATCGTCTCTAGCTCCATCTCATTGATTCATGCGATCGATTCGTCAAGAGGATTCCACAAACTGCTGCTGATCGAGCTCAAGCCACCGAAAAAAACGATTTTTATCTCTTCCACTTAGTAGAGGAAAACGATCCACGGTCGATGGCAGCCTTGCAAAACTCCTTTTTTTGTGGCGGTGGTGGTGGTACCGATTATCATGTCCTCAATCAATGTCCTCTATATTATCAAAGTGGGCCTCTGCGAAATTGGAATAACCACACAAGAGAACAGATGTACATGTACCATGAAAAAAAGAGAGGGAGGAGCACAAATAAATATATACAAAATAATGTTCATCGAATCAAATCGTTCGTTGGTGTCTGTCTCGTCTCGCCAATCTCATCTCTCTCACACACTCAAACACACACACACAAAAAAGAGAGGAGCACGGTTGGATTGGATGATCCGTTCTTTCTTTCCAGCGCGGAGGATCACGTCGTCTTTCGCGGGGTCACATCCTTCCATTTGAATCGACTAAAATTCCCAAGATCCAGAGGACTTTGCGATGCAGCTAGTATGTAGCTCGCCCTTGATTTGTCTGCGCCTGGAAGTTGGAAGCATCTTCTTTTCGCCACAGCAAATGGTCAAAAAGTTTGCCCTGGACCAAAGCTGACCGTTGACATAGATCGGTACGGTCTCTGTGCCGCTGACCACGTACGGACGAGCCCAGGTTTACTTTACCCTTTCCAGCCCTAAATCGCCTGTCAGCAGGAAAAGGAATGGGCCGTCAGATGGTTTTAGGGTAGTGATTTCGTTCGTCGATCGTCTGAGATGATCAGCGCGCTCGTCAGCCTGTTGCTCGAGGGCATGATCTGGTGCTCCGCGTATGGCCTCGTCGGGGCGCTGGCCCTCTGCCCGCATGTACACTGGACATTGATTCTTCTCTTTGGATGATCGATTGCGAGGAATCCACCGGTGGATCGAATGATCGCGGTGATGTAGCGCTCAAATAAAAAATCGCCCATTCTTTCTGATTGATTGGCTCGTTTATCTAGCGAAAAAATCTTCTCGTGTTAGAGCCCTAAGTGCTCGCAGCGCGCTTCCATCGCTGCTCTGGCGGCAGGGCAGCGATCGCAGGTGAGGCGATTTCCCTGGTTGGCTGCGAATGCCTCGCGTCCGGCGCCAGTGAAGCCGGATTTCTTTGACGACGATGACGAGGAGGAGGAGGAGGAGGATCAGGGGCAGCGGCGCAAGGCGGGCGAGCTGGATTGGGCGACTAGAGCTCGGGAGCTTGTGATTCAGGATATGAGCTTCCGGAAGTTCACCGACGAGGATTTCCAGGGCCTACTGCCCCCGCATTTGCGAATCTCTAAGAAGAAGGCCAAGAAGAAGAAGAAGAAGACCAGGGCCAAGCAGGAAGGTGCCGAGGCTGCATTGCAGCTGGCGCAGCGCGATTAACACCAAAAAGAAGAAAGACAAGGACGATGATGCGAGCAGCCTCCAGGCTGTGAATGACACCACACCGGTCGATCCAAAGAAGCTCAAAGCGCTGGCCAAGAGGCTTAACGCTCACAGGGAGCGCTACATGAACATCGAGCAAAGCTACAGCGACAGCGAAGGTGACGAGGGCGAGGAGGAGCTCACGACCGAGTTGACAGTGGTTTATGAGGAGCGTCGAGAGGAAGGAGGTGGTGAAGAGTCGGATGATGGCGAGGAGCTTCCAGCGGCCTTGAAAGATCCAAGGCTGCTGGAAATTCGTCTCAACCAGGACTTGGTCGACTCGAGGGACGTGGAAGAAGTTTTGGAGACGATCGAGAGGGTCAAAGGAAGGTTTGGATTGAGCGCCATCAACGTCGCCACTGCTCTTCACAGGATCGCCAAGCATATGGTGACGCTGTCCATGTCCGAGAGAAGAAGGCTCAAGTACGCCAAGCAGTGTGACGTGTTGCTCGTTGCTTCGGCTATGGAGCTTCTTCCGGAATGCAACGCACAGGGCGTCTCCAACATTGCCTATCTCCAAGATTGGAGGCCACCTTCTTTACCGCGGAGAGATGGAGATAATCGCTCGAGCAGCACTGGCGAAGGTTGACGAGTTCAATCCCCAGAACATTGCCGGAGCCTTTGCTTCCCATGCAGCACAGCTCGCCCGCACTCTTTGAGAAGCTCATGGACGCTGCGAGCAGAGTTTCCAAGGAGTTTCGAGCACAGGAACTGGCCCAGCTTCTTTGGTCGTTCGGGTCCATGGCTCGGCCTCTGGATTCTTTCCTGGACTCATCGGCTTTTCAGCAAGAACAAGGTTCTCCAGAGCTCGGTGAAGAACAGTTCCAAGAGAATCTTTCTCCGGGAAGCTATCGATCGAGCAGCTCTCGAGCATCGTGTGGTCTTATGCTGTTCTCGGCCAACTCCAGGGTCCATTCTTCGCTCACGTTTGCAAGGAGATACGCGCGTTTGAGCAGCTGGAACAGCACAAGCATATACACAGCTATACCAGGTTGTGCTGGCCTCGAAGAGGGAAGGGAAGGATTTGCAGCTTGGCGGGATAGAGAAACGGGCTGCGGGTGCCTGGGAAAAGGAGAGAAGCTCTCGCAAGTCCACTTCCTTCTTGCAAAAGGATATTGAGAGGTTCTTGGTGTGCACTGGAAGGCAGTGGATCCTCGAGTACGTTGATGCGGATTACTCCCATGAAGGGCGGTAAAGTTGCGATCTAGGTTAACGGGCCATTCAAAAGGTTTTTTCTTTTTGTGATAGGAGAACTTCTGGGACACACTGTTTTGAAGCATAGATTGCTGGGGGCTGCTGGATGGAAGATTATCTCTGCTTCCTATGCTGCGGTGAATTTTTTTTTTCTTTGTTGTAGTGGAGAAAAATGTGTGTTTTGATACAGTGGGAGAACTTACAAGGAGAGTCGGAGCACGTTGACTTCCTACACAAGCTTCTGGCTCCTCACATCCGTCAAATAGAGCGAGTGAGCGAGCAGTGTGACCACTTTCACCTACCAGTTTCGAGCCAGAAGTAACTCGTGATTTATAAACCAGGAAATTTCCCACACCAGAAAAGCTAAGAACGCCTGGACCGGAATTCCATCGGGAATTACTGGAACCAGGTTTAGTTTCCTATCATAAAAGTTCTTGACGCCGATGTGACCTTTGAGAAACTTGGTCTTGTAGTATCGGCTCGTAATGTTGTTGCTGGCGCCTGCCACTAAATCCCGTCCTACCTCTGCTTGATTGGCTAGAGACACCCGGGAGACGAACTAGGCAAGGAGAGTGAGAAAACAACTGCGGCTGCCACCACTCCCAGGTGCTTTCAATCCATCCTTGAAAGTCGTGTTTCATGATCACAATATCAGGATCATAGAATATATATGCTGGAGAATAATCTACCCTCTGGGAGCAAGATCTTGGTGCTCCTGCTCCACGTACTCATCCCTTACTTGGTCAGGAGGTCCATCTGGCGAGTGAGGTACTGCGTGGAGCTCACAGACCTCTTGAGCATGGCGTGCATTCTCTTGTAGAGCTCGCCGTGGTGGAAGACCATTGCGTGCTCTCCCAGCACGTCCTTGAGCGATCGAGGGTGGCCAGACTCAAACAGCACCCCCTCGTTGTGCAGCACAAACTTGACGCCCTCCACGTCCGTGACCCGTGAGCAAGCTCGTCTTGAACACCGTCCCATACCTCTCCACAAAAAGATCATAATAAAGATCATATCAGAGCAACAAGATCATTGTATAGGTACTTCTTTCCCAAGACGTAAGGAGCCTTGGAGCGAGCAATCGTCACGTAAGGAATGAGCTCCCCAGTGAGAGGCCATCCCATGCTGAGCCTTTCCAGCTTCCGGAACCTCCATGGTCGCCAGTAAGCAAGTGCCACGAGCCTGAGCTCCGGCGATCCTTGCTACCTGCGCGGAAAGAGAGAGAGAGAGAGAGAGAGGACATTAGTTGGAAAAACTTTTGTGTCGCTATGTGCCAGACTTATTTACCCAGGTCGGTTGACCCACAAACTCGGTGGCTTTTCGATCTGTCGTGATGCTGTTGCTAGCACCTGCCGCCTCCAGAAGATTCCTTGTAATAGGGAAACAGATGACGATTTTGGGCCGGGAAATAATGATGGCGATTCGCTCGATTAGTTTGTATCTAGCAGCATCGCGGGGAACCAAATACAGACAAGAGCATCAAGAGCCGCGGCTGCGTAGCACGGGGTCGGGAGATGCATCGTGCGGCCTCCAAGACATCGCCAGCGCTCTCGTGGCCATGTACGCGAAACTGCAACCAATTTCCGCTTCGGTCCTTACGAGGAATTGACGCACGACACGAGCACGACGATGCCGGTTGCAAGGGAAGAGCTGCTCTACAAGCTCTTTGGCCAAATGATTCAAAGGAAGAGGTGAAACGAGATGTCGAATTATAAAGAATAGATGTACAGGAAACAAAACTAGCACGAGGCTCGAATTTCACCATGTCCTCCCGTGAGAGGCGAGAGCCTACCCATTTTGATCATGCCATTGGCGAAGGCAGTGAAAAATGCCTTCTGATTGTCCGCAAACTCCCTGACAAAGCCCGCCAGATCACTCTGCAACAGCTGCTGGTCTGAGAAGAGGAGCGACTGATTCGCTTGGACAGCTCGAAAGTACAAGTTGTCGAACGTGGTGGGGGAGGGATCCAAATTGTTCAATCTGTTTAGGGCTGTTGGAGGGCAAGTCTTCTCGAGTCGGGACTTGAGGGCCGGATCGATGCTATCCCCTGCGGTTCCGTTGAAGAGGCGGGCGCTGAATGTGGAGCACTGGGCCTGGCCGATGGAATGGCCTCCTGAGAGCGCTACGAGATCACGCTTGGAAAGGCCCCGCTTTTGGAAGCTCTCAATCAGCTGCGTTGCGGTGAGATTTGGGCTGGGAATGGCGTCCACCGCGGCAGCGACGCTCGCGGAGCTGGGATTGTCCCGTCGGCCAAACTCTACTGTCCATGACGGGCCACCAAGCTGCAAATTTCGAAAGAGAAGAAAGCATTTGTAACTCAAATCAATGGAGACCTCACTTACGGCTATGACGGATTCCCGGGCGCTCAGAGCAAGAATGTCCGCGCATGATACAGTTTCCGGGCATGAAGTCTCCACGGCGCGTTTGATATTGTTGATGATTTTGAGTCCCTTGGTGGAGCGTCCGTCTCCTCGCTCCTTCCCGACCTGGGGGAGCAGCGATCCGTCACAGCCCTGAGCGACAGCCAAATAAATGACAAACGAGGACTTATTATTAGAGTACTTACTTGAGCAAAGCAATCGCGGAAGTGGAGCTTGAGGATGGATGCAGAGGATCGGCTGTCATTGGCAACTTCAAAGCGAATCACGCTTCTAGCGATCTGGGGGAAGTCGGGGCAAGTATTAGCGTAGAAAGAAGTGGAGAGCTCCGAGGGCGTTGTTGGTGATTCCTGGTGAATTGCATAGCGCCGCAGCAGCGTTAACGCGAGGAGTAATGCTGCTGAGGTGAGTGGAGCTAGATATTTAAATTGCTGCATTGTGATCTTTCTTTCACGAGGGAGTGAAGGTGTGAAGAGAAGCTTGGCCTCTTGGCCCAGAACAAGAACAAGCTTCTCTGGATGGCTTTCAAGAAACAGCAAGAAAACTAGAACCCTAAACTAGACATTGGATTGTCGGGATTTAAGGATTCTCCAACGCGTTCAAATCTCCTTCGTCGAAGATATGCGAAAGGCCACGATCGATTGGCGTGACGCGAAAAACCGGGGTGTGCGGTTTTTCGCGGAGAATTTTCGCGTTATTTTGGGACCCTTTTTACTATGCGCCACGTGTTTCCAACAATTGGAAACACGTGGCGAAACACGTGTTCTCTTCCGCATATCAAAAAAGCTAGCGGTCAAACCGACCCGTTTTCATTCATGGACTCATGCGCTCACAGCCACAAAGCCTCAAAGAAAAAACACACCTTTCTAGTCGTAGCGTCTGCCTAACACCCCGCGCGCTCAGTCTCTGCTCCACGCCTCCGAGGAATCAATCTCGCTCCGCCCCCAACCTCGCAAGAACCCTCTCCCAAGATGTCCCGCCACGTCAGCCTGTTCGCCACGTAAGCTGTTCGCCAAGAAGCGCCGCCCGTTATGTGATAGAACCAAAAAATAGAAAAAGTTAGGGTTAGGGTTCGACAGAGGATTCAGTTAGGGCTTCGCTAACTGGTCATTGATTCAAACGGGACACCTTAGCCCGCTACGGTGTAGCGGTCACTCCCCCGTTTTCATTGCTAGTGCCAGCACCGAGCTCCAATCCGCCGCGACCCAGAATGGCAGCCTCGTCGATGACCTTGCTGCCGTGCCGAGCTGCCCCACTCCCGATTTCTCCCGGGGTGTGGGAACTCACGTCACTTTGCTCAACCCGCTAAAGGTGCTGGTGCCACCCAGCGCTCGCGTTCCACACAGAAGATCTCTCCTCGTTTACGTTCCAGGAATGGATTGCACGGGCCAGGGGATTCGACCGCAGTTGCCATCTCTCGTCGCTGCCGGGTACGTGTAGCCTTTGTGTTTAGAATCACGACTAGACTAAAGTTTCGCCATTGCAGCCACGACATAAGATGTGTATACATCCCGAGCAGCAACAGAGTTTGAGGGAAGTGTGAAGAGAAGCTTACTCTAAAGAAAGAGAACACGGGAACACGGGAACTCTACTACATATGTGTTCTATTTTCTTGCTGTTTCTTGAAAGCCATCCAGAGAAGCTTGTTCTTGTTCTGGGCCAAGAGGCCAAGCTTCTCTTCACACCTTCACTCCCTCGTGAAAGAAAGATCACAATGCAGCAATTTAAATATCTAGCTCCACTCACCTCAGCAGCATTACTCCTCGCGTTAACGCTGCTGCGGCGCTATGCAATTCACCAGGAATCACCAACAACGCCCTCGGAGCTCTCCACTTCTTTCTACGCTAATACTTGTCCCAACTTCCCCCAGATCGCTAGAAGCGTGATTCGCTTTGAAGTTGCCAATGACAGCCGATCCTCTGCATCCATCCTCAAGCTCCACTTCCGCGATTGCTTTGCTCAAGTAAGTACTCTAATAATAAGTCCTCGTTTGTCATTTATTTGGCTGTCGCTCAGGGCTGTGACGGATCGCTGCTCCCCCAGGTCGGGAAGGAGCGAGGAGACGGACGCTCCACCAAGGGACTCAAAATCATCAACAATATCAAACGCGCCGTGGAGACCTCATGCCCGGAAACTGTATCATGCGCGGACATTCTTGCTCTGAGCGCCCGGGAATCCGTCATAGCCGTAAGTGAGGTCTCCATTGATTTGAGTTACAAATGCTTTCTTCTCTTTCGAAATTTGCAGCTTGGTGGCCCGTCATGGACAGTAGAGTTTGGCCGACGGGACAATCCCAGCTCCGCGAGCGTCGCTGCCGCGGTGGACGCCATTCCCAGCCCAAATCTCACCGCAACGCAGCTGATTGAGAGCTTCCAAAAGCGGGGCCTTTCCAAGCGTGATCTCGTAGCGCTCTCAGGAGGCCATTCCATCGGCCAGGCCCAGTGCTCCACATTTAGCGCCCGCCTCTTCAACGGAACCGCAGGGGATAGCATCGATCCGGCCCTCAAGTCCCGACTCGAGAAGACTTGCCCTCCAACAGCCCTAAACAGATTGAACAATTTGGATCCCTCCCCCACCACGTTCGACAACTTATACTTTCGAGCCGTCCAAGCGAATCAGTCACTCCTCTTCTCAGACCAGCAGCTCTTGCAGAGTGATCTGGCGGGCTTTGTCAAGGAGTTTGCGAACAACCAGAAGGCATTTTTTACCGCCTTCGCCAATGCCATGATCAAAATTGGTAAGCTCTCGCCTCTCACGGGAGGACATGGTGAAATTCGAGCGTCGTGCTAGTTCCTATACGTCTATCCTTTTTCACTATACTCCATTACAACAAAGAAAAAGAAACTTCACCTCAGTTCCATCCGCAATCTATGCTTCAAAACAGTGTGTCCTAGAAGATCTCCTGTAACAAACACACAAAACGAATCACAAAAAGAAAAAACATCCTAAGAGCTTTGAGTACTGACCTGTGTTCCGAGCAAAATGGCTCCTCGATCACAACTTTACTGCCCTTCATGGCAAAATCCAGAGAGTAATCCGCATCAACGTTCTCGGGATCCACTGCCTTCCACTGCACCCCCGGATATCCTTTTGCAAGAAAGCGGTGGACTTGCGAGAGCTTCTCTCCTTTTCCCAGGCACCCGCAGCCCGCTTCAAGCTCCAAATCCTTCCCTTCCCTCTTCAAGGCCAGCACTGAGACAAATCGGGATCAAAGCGCACCGCACTAGCGGACAGAACAGGAAAACCCTAATGGACGCGTGGCGAGGGTGTGTCGTGTAACACTCCCCCCCAAACCGAAGCCACTCACCAAACCAAATCTGTCACGTAGGAGCTGAAACTGGTGTGGCCCCAACGGCTTAGTGAGAAGATCAGCTGGCATATCCTGTGTCCCGAGATGTTGGACGGCGAGGGTGCCACTGTCAACCAACTCACGTATGTAGTGAAATTGGACTTCAATGTGCTTCGAGCGGGCATGGTGGACGGGGTTCTTGGACATGGCAATGCTGCTTCGGTTGTCACACCAAGAAGTAGTGGGGCCAGCTTGTACGCATCCCAGCTCAGCAAGTAACCCTCGAGCCCAAACCACGTCCCTACTACCAGTAGTGAGTGCGATGTACTCTGCTTCTGCACTAGAAAGGGCCACCACAGATTGTCGCTTGGAGGCCCACGTGATGGCACCTCCTGAGAAGGAAAGGCAAATGCCAGAAGTCGAGCGATGACCTTTGTTGTTGGCAAAACTAGCATCCGTGTAGCATGCTAATGATGCATGACCCCCTGAATAAGCAATGCCATAGTCCATAGTGCCCCGGAGGTATCTCACGATATGCTTGGCGGCTTGCCAATGTATGGTGGTTGGTGATGTGTTGTACTGACTCAAGGCAATAGTCGCATATGTGATGTCAGGGCGAGTCATCAGGGCCAAATATGTGAGGCAACCAATGAGATGCCGATAGGGAGTCCCAGTGGGTAGAGGCTCACCAGACTGCTCAAGTGTGAGGTCGATAGCACCAACGACCATCGGGGTCTTGACAGGGTGGCAATCACGCATACCAAACCGATCCAGCAAGACTTCGACTTTACGTCGTTGGCTAAGCATGTAGCCACCAGAATCAGGATCACGTGCGACTTCAAAGCCAAGAAAGTAGGAGACTTGGCCAAGGTCCTTCATCTGGAATTGCTGGCTGAGAGCATCTTTCAGAGCATCAATGGCATCGTTGTCATCACCCATGATGAGCAAATCATCAACGTAGAGGGCCACAATAACCATGCACTCAGCATGACCATTGACATACACATTGTGATCAGCATGACAGCGACGAAAGCCTTGAGCACGTAGGGTGGCATCAAATTTTTGATACCAAATACGGGAGCTCTGTTTTAAGCCATACAAAGCTTTTCACAATTGCCATATAGGGCCACCAGGGGTAACATCATCCTCAAAACCAGGAGGTATATGCATATAGATGTCCTCTTGCAAATCCCCATTCAGAAATGCAGTTTTGACGTCCATATGGTGGACTTGCCATTTGCGAGCAGCCGCAAGGGCAAAAAGAGTACGGAGGCTGGCCATTTTTACAACCGGTGAGAATGTTTCATCGTAGTCAAGGCCATGGACTTGGCGAAAACTGCGAACAACCAACCGTGCCTTATAACGTACAACCTGGCCATCTTTCCCATACTTTTTGGAAAAAATCCATTTTGGATCCAAAACACGTCGTCCCGGTGGCGCTGAATCAACTGGAACATAAGTTCCGTTAACCCGAATGGAAGAAACTTCTTCCGCAATAGCTTCCATCCAAGATGAAGCCTCAGGTCCTGAGATGGCCTCATCATAAGTCATGGGAATGCCGACGTCAACAAGGCCACAAAAGTCATCAAGCTCTGCAGCATCTGCTTCAGCATTTTCCCGGACTTTTAACGAGGGCCGACGTTCCCGGGGGTGATCAAGAACTGGCATCGGATCAGGCATGCCACGACGTCGACAAGGTGGTGGAGGTGTCGGAGGCCTGTCCTCGACTGGAGGAGCATCAGCTGGTTCAAGCATGTCCAGAAGTGGAGGATTCCCCAATGGAATCTCTGGTGGCAACTCATGAATAGGATCTTGAGGTGGAGGCAAGGGTGGACCATCTCCCATAAGTGGGATCAAAGGAACAAGTCGAGTCTCAGCAATAAAGGAAGGATCTTGAAGAGCCTCTGTAGGCATGGGAAAGTCATCTTCATTGAACATGACATCAGTGCTTACAATAGCCTTATGAAATGCAAGATCCCACAACTTGTAAGCTTTCCTCCCGATAGTGTCGTCCTGTGCATATCCCACGAAGATGAATTTTTTACTCTTGGGATCTAGCTTTTTCCGAAGTTGATCAGGGGTATGTGCGTATGCTGCACAACCGAAGACCCGAAAGTGGGACACATCAGGAGTAGAACCTGTCCAAAATGCCTCAGGGGTTTTTCCATCCAAAGCAGCCGTGGCAAGGCGATTTTGTACATGCATTGCTATGGCTATGGCCTCTTGCCAAAACATCTTGTTAAGATGTGCATCAGCTAACAAAGCACGAGTAGCATTGACAAGAGCACGATTCTTCCTTTCTGCAACACCATTTTGCTGGGGGGTGTAGCGGGCTGTAGCTTGCAAGCGTATGCCTACATCACGACAAATGCCCCGAAGCTCATTGTTGAGGTATTCACCACCACCATCAACTCAAAGAGCTTTTATCTTTCGACCAAGGAGGTTTTCAACGTACGCCTTGTACGTTTGAAAGGCAGCAACTGCATCACTCTTACGCATCAAGAAGTGGATGCATGTTCGACGGCTATAGTCATCAATGAATGTGATGAAATATCTTGCGCCATCGTGACTTGGCACGTCCATAGGGCCGCAAAGATCAGAATGGACTAAGTCCAGAAGTCCAAGTGCTCGATGCTTACTTGGTGAGAAATTCCGGCGGTGATGCTTGCCTAAAACACAAGCTTCACAGAATGTAGATGGGATACGTCGGAAATCCAAGCCAGTAACAATATCTTGGGACTTCATCCGTTGAAGAGATTGATAATGAACATGACCGAGTCTTTTATGCCAAAGCTCCGCACGAGAATCTGCCTCCACAGTCTGAAAGGCCTGAACTGGGTCGACAGCAGTAATCTCATACAAGTCCCCAATGCGTGACCCACGAAGCAACTGTGTACCAAGCATATGAAAGTCACTAGAGTCAACTAAAGAGACTCCCTTTGCATCAAAGACTACCACCGCATTTTGATCACATATCTTGGCGACGGATATTAAGTTTCGTCGCAAGGTGGAAACATGCATGGCACCATCAAAGGCCATGGTCCTTCCATGATCGAGTGAGAGCCGGAATTGCCCAATGCCGTCCACAGGGATGGTGGTATTGTCACCTAAATGAACACCACGTTTTCCAATGCTCGGCTGATAACACTCAAAAAGACTCTGCTTATGACTCATAAGATTAGTACAACCAGAGTCTAAGAGCCACCGGCTTGGTGCGGCAAGTGCCTCTGCGTTGTAGAGCTCCCCAACAGCCTCATTTGCAGTAGCAATTCCATCACGCTCAAGCAAATTGGCTTTCGCCAACGTAGCTAGTCGCTTGACAGGCTTGGGAGCAAGGCAATCTCGAGCCCAGTGGCCCATCTCCAAGCAGCGAGCACACTGATTCTTCGCAAGTCTAGGCTTGGCACGCCCAGATGCCACGGAATTTTGCCCTTTCTGGGCATTTGCAGCTGCATGCGGTTTTGCCACCTGGGCATCACCAGAAGCCTGCGAAGCATACATAGCCTGTGGCATTTCAGCTCTCTCACTTCGCATGGCCTCAATGTTGCGAAGACTCCTCACGGCATCTGCCCAAGTCATCCCTGGTTGGAGAAGCAGGCTCTCAACTGCATTCTTCCAGCTCGCTGGCAAGGACCTGTAGAGCCGCAGCCTCTACTGCTCATCCGTGAGACAGTGCTTCGCCCCAACAGCCGCAAGTTGTGTGAAGAAGCCCTGGAGCTTGGCAGTGTGAGGCTGGATACTGCCATTTTCCTCTAGCCTCAAGGAATCCATTTGTGAATGGATGTTGAAGACATCCATTTCACTCTTGGTGCCATAAGTGTCACTCAGCCACTTCCAAAGCTCTGCCGTAGTGGACTTTGGAATCGATGGGGCAGCAAAGAGGACATTTGAAGACAAGCACATCACAATACTCCCTCTAGCCTTGGAATCCCGAAGGTTCCAATCACGCACCTCAGCAGCGCTAGAGCCTGGAGCCGGCGATGACTCTGTCCCATCTACAATCCCCAACAAACCATGAAACAAGAGATAGGATTCAAGATGGATCTTGAATCCCTCAAACCCTTCTCCATCAAACTCGCGGATGGATGGCTTTCCTTCCATAGCGCTATCCCAGCTCCGATACCATGAGACAAATCGGGATCAAAGCGCACCGCGCTAGCGGACAGAACAGGAAAACCCTAATGGACGCGTGGAGAGGGTGTGTCGTGTAACAAGCACAACCTGGTATAGCATGCTTGTGCTATGTCAAACGCGTGTACCTCCTTGCAAACGAATGGACGCTGGAGTTGGCCGAGAATAGCATAAGACCACGCGATGCTCGAGAGCTGCTCGATCGATTCTTGGAACTGTTCTTCACCGAGCTCTGGAGAACCTTGTTTTGCTGAAGAGCCGCGTCCAATGACTCCAGGAAAGAATCCAGAGGTTGAGCCATGCCTAAAGAAGCTGGGCCAGTGCCTGTGCTTGAAACTCCTCTACTCGCAGCGTCCAAGAGCTTCTCAAAGAGTGCGGGCGAGCTATGCTGCATGGAAGCAAAAGTTCCG